TTCACTGCCCTTGAACAAAAGTCTTGGTCTAGAACGGAGAATGCAGTTAACCGTCATAAAAACACCCTTGCAGTTAAATTCGAAAGACTTCTTTTACAGTCTTCCAGTTCAAGTAGTTCAAAAAATCTTCCCATTGTAAACATCAAGCCAATAGTTAATATTTCTAATGTTAGTCTTTCAGAAGAACAAGAGAGAATTCTAAAATATAATTTTAACTTCTCACAAACCTGTAAACCCTCGATTCCAAAGATTTTTGGCTCCTATCGAAAAAGCTTTCAAGTTCAGTAAAGTTTCAGATTCACAGAAAGAAATGATTAGGCATCTTATCGCTCATAATGTGAAATTCAATAATAAACCTTTGAAACCAAATCTAACTGCGAGAGAAGAGCTACAATGCGCGAGATTCATTCTAACCCGGATATTGTCATTTCAAAGGCCGACAAAGGTGGTCAGATAGTCGTCATGGATAAGAACACTTACATCGATGGTGTCACTAAACTCTTAAACGAAGGACCATATAATCCGATCCCTAAAGATCCTTCACCTTCGGACTTATGCAAAATAAAAACTGCGATCAAATCTTCGCAAATCATTTCAAGCAACTTAAAACATTCGCTTATCCCATCTGTTGCGAATTGTGCCAGATTATATGCTCTTCCGAAAATTCATAAAAGTGGTATTCCTTTCCGCCCTATTGTATCAAATTTAGGTACTGCCTCGTATCCATTAGCTAAATATTTAGTTTCTAGATTTTCCACTCTATTAGACAATAACATTTACACCATAAAAAATTCAATAGAGTTTGTAAAAAAAGTTAAAAACATTTCTCCTCGTAATTTACTCATGGTTTCTTTTGATGTAAAATCATTACTCACCAATGTCCCAGTGGAGGGTGCATTAAGATGTCTAGAAACCAGACTTCGCGAATTTCATTTCTCTTGCATCGAAATTGATGAGCTAATTTCTCTCACTCAACTCTGTTTGAAACAAACACATTTTGTTTTCCAAAATAAATATTACAAGCAAACTGAGGGATTAGCCATGGGAAGCCCCCTCAGTCCCATCCTGGTTGATATCTACATGCATTATTATGAATCAAAATTGTTTGAAACTTTAAACTTCCCGGCATGGTTCCGCTACGTAGACGATACTTTTACCCTGTTTGAAGGTAATAAAGATGATTTAAATAGAGTTCTTTCAACAATGAATTCTATTGATCCTGCTATTCAGTTCACTTTTGAACTTGAGACTTGCAATTCTCTTCCGTTTCTCGACATTCTGGTCACACGTAACACATCCAACTTCAATACTACAGTTTACCGTAAACCTTCATCGGTTTGCCTTCCACCACACTTTAAATCATGTCATCCGACTAAACAAAAGTTAGCTTCATTTTATTCCTATGTTTTCCGTGCTCTTCAAGTTTGCTCCTCCAAACTAGCCCTTGATGAAGAACTAAATTATTTAAAAGCAATAGCTATTGACAGGGGCTTTTCACCCAACATTATTAATCAAGCAGTTAAAAAATTCTCATCTCAACACACTAAAAGCCACACTCTTATTTTAGGAGACTATAAAAATTCTGTTGTCATTCCCTTCTTTCCATCAATTAGCTATAAAGTTGCACATATTTTGCAAAATTTAACTTTCGGGTTGTTTTACTCTCCCATCAATAAAATTCCAACTTCTATACTCAAGGACCCCATTCCGGATATGAATTCCTGGGGTATTTATAGGATTCCTTGCCAGTGCGGTTTAATTTACATTGGCCAAACTAAGAGAGCCTTAAAATTTCGCGTCAAAGAACATGAGGCATATGTTAAAAAAAGGAAACACAGAAGTCTTCTGTTGCTCAACATTGTTGGTCCGAAAATCACACTTTCAATTTTTCTGCTGCCAAAATTATTCAAAAAACATCTTCCATTGGAGAACTGGATTTTCTAGAGGCATTTCACATTCATAAAAATCTTTCTGTTCTAGTTAACGATCCTAATTCCAATCCAAATTTGCCTTCGGCTTTTAGAGAAATTATGTTTTAGTTCTGGTTTCGCCAACAGATGGCGCCACTTGCTTATTCTTGTCCAGGCTTTCTTATCTTATCTAAACATTATTTCCTATCTTGTTCATTTGCGGTTTTGCAGCTGAAGATGATGGTTCGGTAAAACCATCGAAACTAGTCCTGTGAAAATTTTGTGAATTAACGCTGATTTTTGTTGTTTGACTTCTGAATCATCTTTAAAGAGGTTTGTATTTCTGAAGACGTCTACGTTACCTACTTTATTCTCGCTATGTTATTTTTGTTACATTGCAATTGAAATTTACGGCTTGCCGGAAATGAGGTTACAATCAAAGCAAAAAGAAATTGTAGCTCAGAAAATAACACAGTTATTGATTAGATGATCACACTATTTCTTTATTATAAAAACATGGTTCAGTAATTTTACTACTTTTAATTTCGCATATGCATTTGGTTAATTTAAATTCTCATGCTCTCTTTTCCTTTCCGGGTTCAAACTCCATCAAGGCAAGAATTTATTACTTTCAGAATCATAGTTTTTAAGATTAGAAGTTTTTTTTATTATATTACACATAGCACAAAGATACTAAATTATCTCCTCGTTGAAAGCTCTCCTGTTTTCATATAGATTTTCTATATCTAATTATGTATATAACACAGAATCTGGGGCAAAAACTCCTTCTTCAGGACAATAAAACGAGACAAATGATCCAATTAAAGTTAAAGCAAATTTCATATGAAAGTGGCGTAAGCCCAAACTTCCCTTCATATTGTGCTATACCAGATTTACTCTAAGCTCATTTTGCTGTCATATTTTTTGGGACATGTGACTCTTAACTCTTACATCGTCCCATTTTTACAGAGCTTTGGCCTATCTGTATCTTGTACACTTTTATCTGTTTATTATGCAATTAAAAATTGAAATATTGTTTCTCTATATAACGAATACTAGTTTAAAATTAACGAGGTATTTGGTGTTTAATTAAACTAAGTTTTTAAATTCTGTACTTTGTCTCCAGAAGCATATCATTCAAGATGAAGATTTTAATTTTTCTGATTTGGACTAAACTTACAAATACTATCACTTGGAGTAATTGAAACGGACCTAAATGAGGATACTAAGCATCATATAAAATCTAAATTCTTTTAGATTAATCACTCTGTCAGTCACTTTAAGTTGTTATTGGGATGAGTCTCCAGAATGAGTTTCAGCACATTCGAAACTATGAAAGCAACGTCTGCCCAGTACCACAAAAACTAATCATAGACTTTTCCATTTTAATGTCAGCTTTCATCTTCGAATACTCATTAATTACTCGCAGTTAAGAATCCTATAAATTGGAGTACAAAGTGTTCCTGTACACCACAGAATACTAGCTTTTAACGTTTCCTTATTGGTTTTACCATTTTTGTAGAGAGTTTTAAGACACAGGAAGACAAGAGATTAAAAGAAATATTAGTAAAGAAACGCCTTCTTTCATATCATATTGTAGGGTTTTTCTTAATTTGCATAATAAATTTATTTTAAGTTTTCCTGTTCTCAACTTCTCAAACTTTCCCTCACATTCTCTCGCCAGGATGTAAATTTAAAGTTAAGTGAAGTGCTATTTAAATGTGTGATTATCTCAGTTTATTCAGAGCGTATTTCGATAGCCTAGCACACGTTTCGTTGTTATTTCGCGGTCACGCTAGTAAGCCTCTTGGTCATATCTGTTTAGTATCACGCCGGTTAGATTTCTGTGAGTCCAACTCTTAGGAGAAATTTTGAAGTGCGTTCTTGCAGTCGTTTATTTTTCAGATTTTGATTTGTATTCTAGTCTACGTTTAGTTATCGCCGCAAGTGAACGGTGTTTTGTAACGCACGAAGTCCGTGCTTTCTGTTAATTTAGTGTGAGTTAATAAAGGTTTTTTTTCACCCTTCTTCTGTGCTGGTATTTAATTCACGCCTGTGCGAGAATTCGCCAGGTTCATTGTTAGGATCTAAGTTAGTGTATGTGGACAGCTAGAGATAGATCTCACAATATATACTCTAAAGAGAAAGTTTGGAATCCATATAGATAAAGTAAGCAATTCTAAAAAATTTGAAATACCCATGAATTTGCAAAATGCTAGTGGTATTCCTATAGAATGGATGAAAGACAAAGGGAAAAAGAAACTGATAAAAGAAGCGTCTACTTCCATAACACATTTGCCCCGGCTAGAAAGCATGGATTTTGGAAGGATAAGGGTAGGGATTCTAAGAAATGTGAAGCACGAAATGGTTTGCAAAGCGATAATGGTCCGAGTAATACAAAGCTGAATCCCCAAAAGTATTTCCACTGATGATATCTCAGCTTTTCCTTTGTTTCTATGTCAAGAAACTGTTGAAATGATGAAAGCCGTTTGCTTTCTTCCGCAACTTTTGTACAATTCATATTGAAGTTCCAGTTTTTGTTTAGAACAGATTACGTCCCACAGATTTCTGAAGTATGCATATCTTTTTTATTCTCCTTTGATTTGTTAATGTTGATATGAGAAGCCCACTGCTTAGGCTATATGATTCATATTTTGAAAATATACTGTGATACCTAGGAGTAAAAGATCATACGGAAAAACCTAATGTAATCGATGCTGCATTGAAATAACTAAGGCACATAAAAATCATTTCTCTGAGTTGTTGTGGTACTCTGACGAACTCATAATAGCCAACAAACTAAGACTTCATCTAAAAAGGACTGAGCAACAAAATATGTAAACAGAATTACTTTTAATAATTATCCAATATCTGGAAGCATATGTATTACTACGTTTCCTTTAAAACAGAATCTAAATTACTTTTCATTTATATTTTCATTTGAATTTCTTTTATTCGAAATTCTATTTTAATAATTCTTTTTAAAATTTTCACTCGTAAGTCACTAATGATGTAAAATTATTGTTACTTTATCTACTGTGTTGTATTGTTATTATAAATTTGTTTCTAAAATACAACACTCTCCTTTAGCTGGCATTTCCCAATAATGACCAAATTCTTTGTTCCCGTGAATGTCCACTAACGGAAGATTCTTCAGTAAATGTAAGTATACATCTAGAAACACTATTTAAGGAAATTTGGCATGTAAACCTTTGTAGTAGATACACAGTGTCAGTAAAAATAGTATTAAATAATTTATTATTTATATTAGGTTTATATTTGATGGTTCCAAAGTTTAGCTAGGTAACAGAAAAAGAAAAGAAAAATCTACAATCTAATGCATTCTAAACGGAATGAGCAAAATTGCTTTGAATTTGTTACTCATGTCCGTTTCCTTTTTTTTTCAAACTAGTTTGCTTCAGTTTAAATTAATTTTGGCAATAATATAATTTCACAAGTATTGTTAATCTTAAAATATATTAAACGAGATAGAAGTTGTCAGATTCATCAAAATTGATCAAAATATAAGTACTGAATAATGTAAACGGAATAGAAATATTGATTTGGGGAATTTTATGTTTCATAAGATCAAAGATTATTAAAAAATAGTCGGCTGGTGGCACAACACTTATGGTGGCACAAAGCATCAAAAGGAAATATCAAAATGCTTAAAGTTTAAAATACAGCCTACAAAAAGAAGGAAACATAACACACGAATATAACGCTTTTCTATTAAACAAATGAAGCTTCTTTGATTCGTGAAACTTACGGCTATTTGCATATGCAATAAAGTAATATTAATTTTAATTTGTAATGCCAACCATTATATTTTAAATGCAATCAATGTAGCTTTGAATTCAAACAAAATTTAATACAAATAAGAATGCTCAAGTTATCCCTACTTTTGTAGCAACTTGCAGAAGGTAGCGGTCCCCTCAATTCCCAGCAACATTAAAAAATATCGCGATCTTGTTAGTATCATTGCATCTGCAATATTTAATTACGATATGCCTTGCTTAATCCCTAATCGGATTTCCTTTTCACGTTTTCCGGTAAATTTTTGCTCACTGCTTTAGTTTTGAGAAATAATATATTTCACAGGATTATATATTATTTTAGTTTTAATTTTAAAAATAAAGTAATGGTTCGTTTTTTAGTAATGATCTCAAGGGGAAAAAGGAGTAAATTAGAATTCTACTTGCGCGAATGAAGTGGTTTTTGCACTGTAGCAAAGAGACCCTTAAAAAGAAAGAAAAAGGGATTACATACGGCTTTTTTTTTAAATATTTAGGTAAACACAGTCGATATTCTGAATTGATTCAATCATTCTCAGAATTTCCAGGAAAGTCTTGAAAGAAACAACTGCAAAAATTGAGAAACCTATCGTCTACGCATGCAGGTTTACAATTTCTTGTTTTTCGATTAGATTTGCTCGTTTTATTTTTTCTTGCTCTTTATTTGCCGTTTCCTTTTATGTTTTAAAAAACATTTTTAGCATCATATATGCATTAATACATCCATTTTCCTATTCTTGATTTTCTGTTTTTATTCATGTTTTTAAAAGTCATTTTTCAGTGTTACATGTGCATTTCTAATATATAAACGCCAAAATTTCAGGAGTATAGTTTCGATGAGATCTAAGATTTCAAGCAGATAGTTAAAAAAGTGAACAAAAACTTGAGCTTCTTTACCTAGGGGAAAGAAAAACAAGCTGGTGCATCCGAGAATTTACCATTAGACGCAGTGGAATGTCATTAGTGGGCGTAAAGCATTTAGGACAAGTTGCGGCAGCCATGGGAACTGCGAGAACTCGTTAGACGACGGACCACTACGATTCCAATGTTGTCGTCATTGTCACTTTCCTAACTCAGTAATGAAAGAAAAACTTAAGTGAAAAAGGGACAATGTCTTTTGCGAAACAGATTGAAAGAAAAACCTTTAGTGAAAATTCCTTAAATCAAGATACTTTAATAAAGTCCAAGGATGTTAAGGATTAATATGTTTTCCGAAACTATATTTTCTGTCACTCAGCGAAGACGTAGCAAGAACCAAAAATTCAATACGTAAAAAACTAAAACTTTGGAGTTCGCAGAATTAGGTATTATCTGGTACTTGTTACAGAGGTGAGTATAACAAATGTGTAAGTGTACTTGACGTAGAACTTCCGATTAAGTGGACTTTGTTATCTCTTTCAGGATATATTTCAGAAGAGATACAAATAAGCATATTTTGAGCTTTAGTTAAAACAATAATAATTCCATTCTTTTAATATTTGGATTCCAACTTCTTGCTAACGAATTTCAGTTTTTATATCTATTAACTAACGTAATTTGCATGAAGAATGGAAAGGAATTTTTTTTTTCCTAAAATGAACCTAAATTTCTGGAAGTCGGGAGATCATAATTTTTCATCTATTTTCGAAGTGTAGGATTTGAATGAATGAAATTAATTTTGAGACTGAGTGAGATATTAAAAATGCGGAGAAGATACTGTATTCACATAGCAAGTGATCCAAGTCATTAAGAGTGTTGGTGATTCACAAATTGTGAAGAATATTACCATCGTAGAGCTCAAGGGAGTGAATCAAACACATTTATGATCCCACATATCCAACTTCTAAGCAAAATATAGATATACACATAAAAAACTGTGTTGAAATTTAGAACACCAAAGGTAACGTTTTTGCAATCTGAAATTGATATAACTCCAAGAACGTTAACGATATTTCAATTTTTATTTTTTTTTATGTTATTATAGTTTATTTGTCATTTCCTTCTTACTTATTCCAAATGCATCCGCAATTTGTATACTGCACCAGTTAATTAAATATAACTGCTAATTTAACTATTCGTAGGGAACTTTTAAAATATAGCTGATAAAGATGCTTACCTATTTATTTTTTACGAATACAGGATTATTAGAGATATGTTGCGCGAATAAAGAGATAATATACTGTTTTTATTAAATTCTAAAAAAAAATGGTAATTTATAAAAAAAAGACCTTTATTTTCAATTCATACGAAAATTAGCTTCTTGTAACAAACTTCCTTATTATAATAGTATATGTGCATTTATTTTGTGGATAAGACAGTGCTTCAATAAACAGAACTTTAACAGCTAGGAATAAATCTGCAAACCCAGTGCACAAATATTTGATTAATGATCTATCTAATCTACAGCGAAATAATATTAAACATAGAAACGTATCTAACTGTGTAAAAGCTGACTAGAAGTCTGTTATTGAGTAGTGCTGTACGCAAAGGACACCCCTCTTTGAATATACATTAGGCAGGAATCAACAATGAAGCTCGAAGTTCTGATGATACATGTCAGCAACATGTGCGCTTAAACGTTAAATCCACAGCTTTTGAAAACTGTAGGAAGCTGGACGCTAGGTAAATCAATAGAAATATACGACGTAAGACGTAATCTAGAGCCAGTTTTTTTAAGAAATGAATGCAAATTCGGTTTTGTACAGAAAACATCTGTAGAAGATAAGAAGCTATTCTCGAGAAAGATAAATTTATTATTATATTTGAGAATGCTGGGGATCTAATTAGCAGTTTAAAGGTTAAAGAAGTATTAGAGCCATTTGTTTGATGTTTAAAGGAGTAACTTTATTGTACCGAAATTAACAATGCTTGAGGGGATTACGTTTGGCTGGAAAATTAGGAAAGATGAAAGCCTCTCCTACTAACCAAATTAAGGACATTTGGCAGAAGGGTTTGTTAAAATAACTCTTTTAAATTCCTTCTCAAAGACATAGATTGATTGCTTCTGATAGTGGTTAGCATTACGAAAATTGAGTGGAGTCAATTTGAAATCAATTGAATAGTTTTCGTTATGATAGACTAAAATTTTTGTTTTTATGAACTATCTCAATGCTTCTTGCGTGTTCTAAAAGGCATCTAATTCAAATGCGATTAAAAATATGTGTATCGCAAATGCTTAAAGTTTCATAAACAAGAGAAAATTACATTAAGTGAATGAATCTCGATATCTTTGCCCTTTTCACAGAAATTTCTTTCGTTTTTTTCCATGGGATTATTTATTTAGAGCTTCGTTCAGCTGTTAATAAAATTAATTAGTTATATTCCTGGAAATTTGAAAGGATGAAGCTGTGTTAACTGCCAACAAATTTTATAAACCCTTTGAGATAATTATCTGCTTAATTTACATGCAGACTGTGATAAATATTTAAAGCCAATCGTTCTTAAATATTTAAAAAAATTTTGACATAAAAATTCCTGGAATTGTTTTTTCGATGGAAAATTCAAAACTGTGTCTATTTTCAATTTCAGAGGAGTTCTGACTGGTTGCTTAGGATATGGGTATAATATATATATCCCGACATGCACCTATCTGATTAATTTTCTTCAGAAAAACTAATTAAATAACTTAGAAGTTCAGAGTAAGTCCTGAGGGAATAATAGTCCTTCATTTCAACTAGTGTGGTTGTATTCCTGTCTTCAAAAAAAGCTCAGTACTGGCTTTGCTGTGGGCCGTATGAAGCTGTTGATCAGCTCCTTTTATTTCGTTTGTTTTACGTTACGTTATTTTTAAGTTCAATAAACGTTCTGTGTGTTTTACAGAGATTCGTTTCGCCGATTATTTCATTCTATGTTCAAAAGCGGCCAATCGCGATCACAAAATGCGGAGAGTTTTTATCTTCAAGAAAAGAAACCCCATGATAAGCTTCCTCGAAATCGATACAGATTTATTATAAAACCAACACCAATCGACGAATTATATTTTACTTGAATAATATTATGCCCTTTTCGCTTTGCATTTATAACTCTAGAGAATAAAAATTTGTATTAAAGTCCCCATTCTATACATTTCATACAAATCGCTATTTTCGTAGCAGATGACTCACCAGAGGCAGAGTGGTAAAACCTTGCTCTGTGTTAGATTTCAGGCTAACAGGTAGGCTGCATGAACGTTTCATGGTATCTGCAGGTGTAACGTGGATACGAACCACTTTCTATTAGGAAGTCCTTCACGAAGGCATCCCTTCTCTTAGACAGATAGCCCTGACGTACTTTGTCAAAATCAAATAAATTAAATAAAATTCGTAGAAGATGAGAAAGCTTTTCCATAATGTACTACATGAAAAAGGCATCAGCATCCTCCCAACATGTCTTGAAAAGCACAGGTATGTA